CGGCGCCCCCGCCACTGGCCAAGGCCGAGCCCATCAGCAATGATGGTAGCACCTCTGGGATAACATAGTTAAAGAGGGGGGAAAAACCACCAAGAGCAATTGCAGCCAGAGAGAGGAGTGAGAGATGTGAGAGAAAAAAAGAGGGGGAGGAGGTGCTCCAGGCACCAGAGCAGAGGTTTCCCTGCAGCCCATGGAGAAGACCATGGTGAGGCAGGCTGTCCCCCTGCAGCCCATGGAGGTCCATGGTGAAGCAGATATCCACCTGCAGCCCATGGAGGATCCCATGCCGGAGCAGGTGGAAGTACCTGAAGGAGGCTGTGACCCCATGGGAAGCCCATGCTGGAGCAGGCTCCTGGCAGGACCTGTGGCCCTGTGGACAGAGGAGCCCACGCTGGAGCAGGTTTGCTGGCAGGACTTGTGACCCCATGGGGGACCCACACTGGAGCAATGTGGTCCTGAAGGTCTTTGCCCCGTGGAAGGGACCCACACTGGAGCAGTTGGTGAAGAACTGCAGCCTGTGGGAAGGACTCATGTTACAGAATTTGGTGGAGGACTGTCTCCTGTGGGAGGGACCCCACACTGGAGCAGGTGAAGAGTGTGAGAAGTCCTCCCCCTGAGGAGGAAGAAGCAGCAGAGACAACATGTGATGAACTGACCACAACCCCCATTCCCCATCCCCCTGTGCCACTGAGAGGGAGGAGGTAGAGAAATTGAGAGTGAAGTTAAGCCCAGGAAGAAGGGAGGGGTGGGGGGAAGGTGGTTTTAAGACTTGATTTTATGTCTCATTATCCTACTCTGATTTGATTGGTAATAAATTAAATTTTCCTCAGCTGAGTCTGTTTTGCCCATGACAGTAATTGGTGAGTGATCTCTCCCTGTCCTTATCTCGACCCAGGAGCCTTTCATTATATTTTCTCTCCCCTGTCCAGCTGAGGAGGGCAGTGACAGAGCGGCTTTGGTGGGCACCTGGCCTCCAGCCAGGGTCAGCCCACCACACTTGGAAAGAGGGAAGAAGGATGGAGAACATAATTGGTGGGAAACTTCTCGGTCACCAACAGCAATGGGAGTCAGATACTCAGTAAGTGAATTGCAAATAAGTGCACTGAAATTTTGAAAATCTTAACTAAGTGGTATAAAGGATTGATTGTGCAAATATGATCCTTTAGACATAAACCGCTGACCAAGTTTGAGACTAAGTTAGGAGCCAGCCACACCTAGACTTCTCTGAGAAGCAGTTTAGAAAGCAAGGGGGTCCTCTCTGAACCTCATGACTCATTGGGAGAGTCTCCCTGACAGTTTTTTGTGACCCTGTCCTCTATGCATTAGATAATCAAGTGTACCTGCCATTGAATCTTGTTAAACTACTGTTGCATTTACCATTGAACTTTGTTAACTCACTTTGTTATTAATAAAATACATTGCTGCTTCTCTCTTGCAAGTGAAATGCATCTCTATCACTCCATCTGCAACGGGACCCCAGAGCTGGATGCAGTACTCCAGGTGGAGTCTTACAAGAGTGGAGTAGAGGGGCAGGATCACCTTCCTCCACCTGCCGCTCAAGCTGCTTTTGATGCTGCCCAGGATATGGTTGGCTTTCTGGGCTGCGAGTGCACACTGCCAGCTCATGTCCCATTTTTCATCTACCAATATCCTCAAGTCCTTCTTTACAGCACTGCTCTCAAACAATTCATCACACAGTCTGTATTGATATTGGGGACTGCTCCAACCCAGATGCAGGACCTTGCACTTGGCCTTGTTGAACTTCAAGAGATTATAGGGAGGCCAGTTATTTTTGCCCAAGGCAGTGCCAGAAGCTGAGAATCCATACAATACATAAAAGTTGTACGATAAGCACTGAAGTCTTAAGGTGGGGTCAGTCTGTAGGTTGACACCTAGCTTTAGTGGTGTATGTGTGACCTACATGTCTACATTCCTGATTTGATCAATAGAAATGTAGTTAATGCATACTATAAAGTCTAGAAAGACTGCATAATGCAGCTCACCCTACTGCAAACATCTACGTACGGCCAACTGAATTGATCTCTGGAATACATTAACAGGACTGACTACACCCAGGAACCTGTCTGACTCATGTAGCAACCTGTATGCAAACAACCCAGTGCTAGAACCCGTGGGAACGGAATGAAGCTGCAACAGGAGGTTTAGGTTGGGTATTAGGAAAAGGTTCTTCACTGAGAGGGTGGTCGGGCACTGGAACAGGCTCCCCAGGGAAGTGGTCACAGCACCGAGCTTGACTGAGTTCACGCAGCATCTTGATAATGCTCTCAGTCATATGCTCTGATTCGGCTGGTCCTGTGTGGAGCCAGGAGTTGGACTCAATGATCCCTTATGAGTCCCTTCCAACTCAGGACATTCTATGATTCTATGAACCACATTTAGGTGTCAGCCATCTGTAGCTGAATCCCACCACTGCAGCTCAATGGAACCTCGTCTATGTGTCTAGTATCTCACTTTAGTCCCATGTTTGGCTTAAGTATTCTTTCCCGAGTTGTGCTGAGGACTGCTGGGTCTCTGCTTGTACATTGTCAGTTTTGATATTAAAAATCAGGTTGTTTTCCAGAGAGCTCTTAATAGAAAATAATATCCTGAAAGATTCCATTTTTAATCCTGCTTTCTTCTGAGACAAAAAGTTTGTATAATTCAAACTACTGAAGAACAGGTTAACCTTCACTATTTAATTAAATTGATTCCGGTAACAGAACATTATTTTTAGGCTGCCTAATTTCACTTTGAGTTTAGAGAACTTTATTAGGAGGATGTTGCCTTGATAATAAAGTATTTCCTCAGATGCTGAATAGCATAGACCTATTCTAAGGTGGCTGTGTTTTGCTTTTCGGTTTAAAAATTTTCTGCTGTTCCCTATCACGTGAAAAATTATTCTTTTTTCCTCCTACATTTTACAATGGGCAATAGAACCGACCTGAGATCAGTTAATCTTTATATTATCAAGCTTTGCTCATTAAATTTTGTGGCATCTATTTGAACTACTAAGATAAATGATATGAAACTTCCAAACTAAAAACTGTATAGGCATATAAAGTATTTTAGTAAGGAACAAAATGTAAAATATAGTTCAATTATTTAAAAAGAGAAGGTTTTAACTATTTATCAGAATTCTATCTTGGCAGCTAATTAGGAGCTGCTGTTTTATGCCTAAATTAATGTCAGCTCAAATTACGGAGATTCATGGGAAGTCCATTTTCTTGGTGCAGTCGATTCTCCCATTGATGAGTTATCAGGAATCATGAGACAAGTCATGAATAATCAAGTCAGCAGTGAAATTTAAAGTATTTCAGAAGTATTACAGAAATAAAACCCTGTGCATTTTGCTTTACTACCTACCACTTAGTGACTTCTTTCTTTTCAGGACATTATTCCAAAAGTTCACAGCTGAACTCCTTCTTAAAAGACTTAAGAAAAGATGTTCTTAACTTCAATTTTTCTCATGATAGCAATTAAGTTCTGAATTTTAGAAAGACTATCGGTATCAAGAATTTAAGATAGCATGGTCACTGTATATACTTGAATAATGTATGGACAGTAACAGTATGTAAAGTACTTCAAACTTCATTTGCACTCTTTACATTCTGTCAGGAGAACTGTAATTGTATTTTATTCAAATGACTCACCTCAATTTCCTTTCTAAGCTTAGCATGCCTTTTTTTCTCTTCTTCCAGCAAATCTGTTTTTTTATTGATGAACTCTTTCAATGTTGTGATGTTCCTTTGTAAAAGTGTAATTTCTTCCTGCAGATGTAAGTCAAGATAAAGACACGCCCTCCTTAAAAAATTGCACAGTACATCTACTAAACTTATTTAAAAAGTCACATTTTAACAGTCTCACCTCATTAATAGAGACAAGATAGAGATCCATAGTAAACATTTTCATATTAAAATAATTAATAATAATTAAATTGATAATAATTTAAGAATTGTGATTAAAATGAATAATTAAAATAATTTACATGTATTTAGGTATTTAAGAAGATATACTCTTGCGGTTTAACCTGGCAGGCAGCTAAACAACCCCCCTGCCCTGACATAGTGGGATGGGGGAGATAATTAAAAAAAAAAAAAAGGTAAAACTCGTGGGTTGAGATAAAGACAGTTTAATAGGACAGAAAATGAAGGGAAAATAATAACGATGACAATTATGATAATGATGATAATGGTAATAATATACAAAACAAGTGATGCACAATGCAATTGCTCACTACCTGCTCACCGATACCCAGCCAGTCCCTGAGCAGGGGCCACCACACCCTCAGGCCAACTTCCCCCAAGTTTTTTTTTGTTCAGCATGACATCATATGGTAGGGAATATCCCTTTGGCCAGTTTGGATCAGCTGTCCTGGCTCTGACCCCTTCTAGCTTCCTGGAAATCCCCAGCCTATTTGCTGGCAGGGCAGTATGAGAAGCTGAAAAGTCCTTGACTGCTCAGCAACAACTAAAACATCAGCAGTTTATCAACATTATTCTCATCCTAAATCCAAAACACAGCACTATACCCACTACTAGGAGGAAAATTAACTCTATCTCAGCCAAAACCAGGACAACTCTTGATCTGACATATGCAAACAACTACAACAATACAGGAATTTGAATTCATTTTGCTGGTCTTAATTTTGTTTAAAATGTAATTTATTGCAAAATCAAAGAATATTTAATGCAATATTTGAGATAGATTTTTCTTTCTCACGGGGAAATACAATGTTAATGAATCTTCATTTATCAGTATTTAAAGATTTGCTTGTACAACTAAATTTTAATCAATTTATGTGAATAGAGTAACACCAGATTTTCAATAATGCCTGTTGCATCAGAGTTGAAATCTGTGACCCCATTTCAGCTTCATACACATGTTTGCTCATATATTGGTAAAGTTTTGTGGTTAAAAATTCCTACATGGTAGTTTTTAATAAGTATTGCAATTAGGGTCAAGTAAAAACAACAGTGTTAGACTAGAATACTAAAACAAATATATTTTCCTCTCTCCTTCTTTCTGTCACCCTCTCATCAAATTTGCCTCCTGTTGGCAAACAGCTCAACTGTAGTTTGTTACCTGACTGCAAAGTTAAATGAATACTGTGCTCTTACATGAAGAATATAACAACGTGGCAATGTTCCACAGAATTCTGAAAAGTGTACATGTAAGTTTATCCAACAACCCAAAGAGGCCCACAAATAGTTTGCCAATGATATAGTTTAATTTACAGTTCTGTAATTTTTTTCATAGCTGAGTTCATTTGATCACATAGAATGAACATGACTTTAAAATAATAAATGGATAACAATAGATAATGATTTTTTGTACTGCATACTGAAGTAAAAATTTACTCAATTAATGTAGCATTATAAATTATCTATATTCCCCGTAGTCGGTCCCTCTTGAACCATAAAAATATTAGACAAAATAATCGTATTAGTCAAACTATGCCAAAATTATTTCACATAAAAGGAAAAGAATCAAAGAGGAAATATAGTACCTGCACTTGGTTTATAACAGATCCTTCTGGGTTCTGGAGATCATGCATTAACTCCTCCTTCTTTGTCTTTAATTCTTTAACAACAGTTTTCTTTTTAGCAAGCTCAATCATCACTGGCATTTTACTTTCCATCTCCCAAAAGAGATGTTTATGAGCCTTTATTTTTTCCCGATATTCATTATTTCTTGCAAATGTCATCTCAAACTCTTCTTCTACTGTTTCCACGTCACGCCTCAGCTTTAAATTTTCAGAATATAAGGCTATGACTTGGGCCTCTAGATTTTCACAGTGATATTTTGTCACTTCTATGGCATCATCTTGCAGATATATTTCCCTTTCTGTCATCTTTGTTTCTAACAGAATAGACTCCATTTCTTTTTCTAGCTCCTGAAACCTTGCCTGTAAAATAATTCAGTGTTCACTTAAGAACATTTTTTGATACTAGGTATCTAGTTAAACACTGTAATTTATATTTATTCAACAGAGTCTTCTTTTTCACTTGTTTAATGTGGCTTGAATGGAAGAATTAGAGATCCTATTCCTAAAATCATCACCTTAGAGGCACAATGCAAGAATAGTATCTTAGACTTCTCCCCTTAGACTGAGTCTAAAATATGAAATAAAGTATCCTTTAAATTACTTTAAATTCTTCATATTTGCAAGATACATAGGACGTGACAGATCAAACCCAATCCTAATATTTGTTTAAAGCTGAAATCTGGTTAGGTCCTAATCAGACTAAAAATAACTAATGATGCCAAAAATCACTTACAAACCCACACAAACACACAAATGGGTGTGTGGGGTGATGGAGCTGAAGTAGCCTGTTCTACTCAAGTTTTTAATCCTGTCTGCATCACAGTAGTATTTGAGAGTAGGATTAATCCCAGATATTTTAACCCCCTAAGAAAGATGCATCTAGTCTCACTGGTGAGAAGTGAACAACTCCAGGAACTTCAACCCATCATAAGTCTAAGATGGGAGGGCTGAATTGCTACCTCAGAAACATATATCTCTCTGACTACCAAGGGAGCCTAGAGGACTAATACGGGTTTAACATCTGACTTGTAGGTGATGTAAGGCAGCTATGATGAATCCAACCCAAAGTAACAGCCAATAGTAGTGCATTAAGTGAGCGAATTAGCATCGTGATTTATGTCACCTATTATCTTTTCCCTAATGGAAGCAATATGAGTGCTATGAAATCTCTTACTCTTGTCCTTGAACAGATCGAGACATTATTAATTGTTAAGAACAAAAAGTTTCTGTGTAACTTTTAATTTGGAAATCTTGGGCTACAGTTTTATCAGGATTTGTATCAGTGCCAGCCACCATTTACTGAGGATAGGAAAGCAAAAGACCTTAATGGCAAAGATCTTCAATTTTGAAAGAAATTTTTTTCCATGTCTTCTGTTCCATGTACACATGGGGATAGACATAAAGATGAAAAAGCATTCTGACTTTAAATTCCTAATAATTTAACTTTGCTGTTCTGCTAACATGTTTGCATGAAATTTCCTGGAGTTTGTTTTTTTTTTTAAAAAGAAAAAGGAAAAAGTATGGAAAAGGAAGAAAATAAATGAACTAACTTTTGACACTGTCCTGCACAACATCCTTGTCTCTAAATTGGAGACATGGATCTGACAAATGGACCACTCAATGGATAAGGATGGTCGCAGTCAAAGAGTTGCAGTCAACTACTCAATGTCCAAGTAGAGATCAGTGACAAGTGGCGTTCCTCAGGGTTCAGTATTGGGACCAGCGCTGTTTAACATCTTTGTCAGTGACACGGACAGTGGGATCGAGTGCACCCTCAGCAAGTTTGCGGACTACACCAAGCTGTGTGGTGCAGTCAACACGCTGGAGGGAAGGGATGCCATCCAGAGGGACCTTGACAGGCTTGAAAGGTGGACCCATGCAAACCTCATGAAGTTCAACAAGGCCAAGTGCAAGGTCCTGCTCATGGGTTGGGGCAATCCCAAGCACAGAAAGCCAACCGTGTCCTGGGCTGCATCAAAAGCAGCATGACCAGCAGGTCGAGAGAGGTGATTCTCTTCCTCTACTTCACTCTCGTGAGACTCCACCTGGAGTATTGGTGTCCACCTCTGGGGTCCCACTATGAGAAAGGCATGGAGCTGTTGAAGAAAGTCCAGAGGAGGGCCATGAAGATGATGAGAGGGCTGGAGCCCCTCTCCTATGAGGACAGGCTGAGAGAGTTGGGGTTGTTCAGCCTGGAGAAGAGAAGGCTTGGGGAGACCTTATTGCAGCCTTCCAGTACCTGAAGGGGCCTACAGGAAAGCTGGAGAGGGACTGTTTACCAGGGCATGGAGTGATAGGACAAGGGCTAACAGCTTTAAGCTGAAAGAGGGTAGATTTAGATTAGATACTAGGAAGAAACTCTTTACTGTGAGGGTGGTGAGGCACTGGCACAGGTTGCCCAGAGAAGCTGTGGATGCTGCATCCCTGGAAGCGCTCAAGGCCAGGTTGGATGGGGCTTCGGGCAACCTGGTCAAGTGGAGGGTGTCCCTGCCCATGGTGGGGGGTTGGAACTAGATGATCTTTGAGGTCCCTTCCCACCAAAACCATTCTATGATTCTAACTTAATTACCTAGGACTCTAAAGTTCTGTGTTTTTGTTTTGTTTTTTTTTAAAACAGACACCCTTGTTTAAATGGTTTGATCACAAATTAATTGTTGCATCATCATCATACTATATTATAGGATGGTTTATCATTAGGAGAAAGCTTCTTGCAAGGTGTAGCTTTAGGAATTGACATCTCTAAGCAATAGAAGTTTTCACTTCTCCTTCAGAGATGTTATCTTTGTACAAAATTTCAAACCTCACTTATTTCAGTTGTAGGGCTATTCACAGGTGTTATAACTGGAACTCTACTATTTCCATTTGCATTCTCCCATGTTCAAAAATGCCTGAATGCTATTGTGTCTTTCCTCAGACTCAAATTAAGTCTCTCAATAGAAATTTGATCTCAAAGGTTAAATAATTGAAAGTTTAATAAATTCTGTGAGAGATTAGAACAGAAATGATTACACAGTCTTCACAAAAACTACATGTACCCAGTATTATACAAAACATTACTAAATAAAAACAGTATTTAGGATACCCACTTCAAATGCACAGAAAAAAAGTAAGTAAAAAAGATGCTAAGAAAAAAATGCTAGGTCTGGTGAAAATCTGCCCAAAAGGATGCTTTAAAAATGTTTTCTTCCAATTAATTGCTTAGGAAATTACCATGAAGAATTCAAAGAGCTCTAACTTTGTATTGAGTTTTTGTGGCTTTGCTATTTCAGTATTTCTGGGGCTTTGGCTTATTTTGTTTTTTCCAAATAAAAAATAAAAGCTTCTGCTAAAACCTGCTCTAATGAAGTCTTAGCTGTGTTGCAGTCTTACAAATAACAATACTCATACACAGTTTTGGCTGAGCCTAAATGCCACACATAGGAACAGAATAGCTGCCTTTTACACTTAAATGCAAACACCCAGAAAATAATTGGTACCATCAGCTTCTCTTGTTCATAGGAATACTTCCTCATCTACTGAAAAAATCAAATTAATTAAACTACTCTAAATAAGGTTTATTACCTGCAATTGGAAAAGAACTGTTTTGCTTTTTTCTATCTCTGATACTTGCGAATGCTGCTGCTCTGCAACTTGTTTTACAACTTCAATTAGTGATGGAGAATTTTGCTTGGCCATTTTAGGCAAAAGTGCAGAACTGTAAGCACATAAAAAAGAAGTGAATAGTTTTATCTTCATTCTATTTAATCCTAGTTGTTAATGAAAGAGAACAATATTAATGCCTTTCTTGAGGGATCCCAGATCAATACGTTTCATCTGGTTCGGCTTTTTATTAACCAGAACAGGTTACTTAATGGGTGACGCTCAAAGCATTGAGATGACTGACAATTAGAATTCTTTCAGAATTCTATAAAATGAACTATTGCAATGTTTTTCTAGCTTCTCTGCAGGACGGATCTTCAGTTTGTGAATACAGTCATAGCTCTTAAGGGCATCTTAAATGCACGAGAGTATTCTCTCATATTTAGCCTGGATATTTACATTGTTGCAGTTAACACACTGCAAGTGCCTTCTATATTAACTATTAAACTATCCTTAATATAATATAAACTAGAAATTGAGAAAGCTGTCACATTGAAAGTCACAAACTAATAGTACAATAAAGATCCCTCCCGGTGATTTAGTGCTACTTTTGTATCACTTTGGATAGAATAATTAATAAAATCTGTATTGTTATATAAAATGACTCCAAGCTCTCAGGAAAACGCAACAAGTCTGGCACATACAAAGCCCATCTTCGGGCGTAGTATATCAAATATGACTCAGATGACCCACGAACTGTGCATGCCTGAAGATATCGAGTCTTGACTAGGAAACCACATCTATCATTTTATGTTCAGGGATGTTGCAACCGTTGTCGTGGCATCCCTCACTTCTCCCCTCTATCCCGCTCAAGCACTCCACATCCCCAACACCAGCAGGCCTGCCCCGCGGCACACAGTCCCAAACCCTCCGAAGGCACTGAAACGCGAAGAGAGCAGAGCCAGACGCCCTGACACGACGAGGCCACCTCCTTT